AAAAAAAAAAAAAAAAAAAAAAAAAAAAAAGAAAGAAAGAAGTAAAAAAAAAAAAAAAAAAAAAAAAAAAAAAAAAAACACAAAAAAAAAAAAGGAGTTCATCATCTAGTTGGGGAGCAGCCTTAGGTTCCCAGTTACCACAGTTTTATGGATTAGGGACTTCCATGTTATCCTTAGATCCTGAAGTTGAATTGTCATTATCATATATATGCACTATACAAAATGCTATAGTGGGGAAAAGTAGGAAGAAGCCAGAATCCTGCAAAATAGTTGTGATGTCTGCCACTCAGGTAGGCTTGTAAAGTTGGAGGGGAAGGAAGGTAGGGAAAATGAGCTTAGAGAAGTTGTAGGTTCAAAATTCAAAAGTGGAAGAAGTTAAGGAAATGATAAAAGCCCTAGAGTTATGCTTCTCAGACTTTTTTTAAAAATACCTCTGGGCATAGAGTAAAACAAAAGAGAATTAATACTCTTGTGTCTGAGAAGCTAGTTCCTAAAAACTTGGAACGAAGGTGATATTTCTTTGAGGCCTTTAATTTCATTTAAAAAGTTAATATAAATTGAATTTTATTATCTGCTTGGAATATTTGTTTAGAATTGTTTACCTTAAAATTAACATATGTGAGGGCTGGTAGATTTATCTTGTGCCTTAGTGCTGGCACTGCTGTGTTTCTGTGGGTTTGTGTAGTCTATAGTCAGTGCAGCACAGGTATTCCTAGGGCAGGTTTCATGTGTAAAGAGGTGTACAATCTCTTACCTGCAACCCCTGGGAGCCAGATATGTTTGGGAATTCAGAATTTTTCATATTTTAGGTGAAAAATATGAAAATATGGCTGGTTTTAATTTGAACAATTTACTCAGATTGATTAGATTACAGAGAGTTAGAAACTGAGTTCTTTATGGCCTCTTAACAGTCCCATCAAGAAAAATAAGCAAAACCTGCCAGTGAATTCTGTTATTACGTTTCTGAGATCAAAGACAAACTAAGCCTTATGGCTTTCCTTTAACTTCGACAAAATTTGTGCTAGACTCCTGTACTATTAATAGAAATTGAAAAACAAGATGTTTATTTAGCTCTATGATGTAGGTTGCTCACAGATTTTTTTTCTTCCTTCTGCAGACTGTTTTCAGGTGATTTTTCATTTCACAATTACAAATGCATTTTTTAAATAGGTAATAAATCTCCTAATGGAATAAGTGACTATCCAAAGATCAGAGTGACAGTAACCCGAGATCAGCCACGCAGAGTCCTGCCTTCCTTGGGGTAAGTGTTAAATTCTTTTTGTAAATGGAAACTTAGCACTTATTAGGTGCTCACTCTTGCTAGGCATCCTCAATTTTGTTTGTCATGTAGTCTTGCTAAGTACTCTGAGGTTAGTAACTTGCTGAATGTCATGCAGCCAGTGAGAGACTTGAACTTGAGTGTGTGTGGTGTTTTTTGTGACATGGAGTTTTGCTCTGTCACCCAGCTAGAGTGCAGTGGTGTGAGTAATCTTGGCTCACTGCAACCTCTGCCTCCCAGGTTCAAGCAATTCTGTCTCAGCCTCCTGGGTAGTTGGGATTACAGGCACCCTCCACCATGCCTGGCTAATTTTTGTATTTTTAGTAGAGATGCTGTTTCACCCTGTTGGGCAGGCTGGTCTCAAACTCCTGACCTCAGGTGATCCGCCCGCCTTGGCCTCCCAAAGTGCTGAGATTACAGGTGTGAGCCACCACACCTGGCCTTACATTTTCTACTGTATTTATATACCCATAGCATCTGATCTTGAAAACCGTTTTAGAAAGAATCGTCACTTACTTTATTCTCAACTTAAAAATATAATTCTGCATACAAAAAGTGCTGAAATTGTAAGTGTACATTGCCTGGTTAATCTTCATACACTGGTCACATCTGTAAAATATTATTATTAATAGTTTTCTTCCCTCCTTTTTCTGTATTCTTTCTAGAATTTTTATTGCTTATTGCTTGGACCTTCTTTTATTCATTAGACCTTCTGGATTGATCTAATTTTCCCACATATTTTCTTCTTTTGTTGTTTTTTTTTTTTTTTAAACAGGGCCTCGATCTGTCACCCATGCTGAAATGCAGTGGCCCAATATCAGCCCTCGGCTCACTGCAGCCTCTGTCTCCTGGGCTCAGGAAATTCTCCCACCTCAGCTTCTCATAGCTGGGATTACAGGGGTGTGTCACCATGCCCAGCTATTTTTTGCATTTTAGTAGAGACAAGGTTTTGCCATGTTGGCAAGGCTGGTTTTGAACTCCTGACCTCAGGTGATCCACCCACCTTGGCCTCCCAAAGTGCTGGCATTACAGGCGTGAACCACCGCACTTGGCCTTCTTGCTCTTTTTAAAAACATTTTTTATGACCGGGCGCGGCGGCTCACGCCTGTAATCCCAGCACTTTGGGAGGCCGAGGTGGGCAGATCACAAGGTCAAGAGATCGAGACCATCCTGGCCAACATGGTAAAAGCCTGTCTCTACTAAAAATACAAAAAAAAATCAGCTGGGCGTAGTGGCATGCACTTGTAGTCCCAGCTACTTGGGAGGCTGAGGCAGGGGAATTGGGCCACTACACTCCAGCCTGGTGCCTGGTGACAAAGCGAGACTCTGTCTCCAAAAAAAACACAAACAAACAAACAAAAAAGCATTTCTTACTAATTCTTTTTTGACTGTCAGTTTTTAAGATAGAAGAGTTCTCCCCACTGCCTATTCCCAACTTTTTTTTCTTTCTCCAAGCATCTTTTTCTTATATGGATGCAATATCTTTCCTTGTCTCTCTAAAGCTGTTTATTATTTTATAATATGTTTTGAGTGCTCCATTCGGCTTTGTGCCTTCTCCCTCTATGTTTGTTTATTTTGGTTTTATCTTTCAGGTTAGAGTCTTTATGCAAACACTTAGTACGCCTTGGCTATCCACTTATGTTTAAGAATGAGACACTAAAAAATAGTGCCCTCTGGAGTTGAATAAATGGCTGATTATAGGGCTAGAGGGAAAGTATAAAGTGAGCCTGAACATCTTGTGCCAGAAAGTAAAGGAATGTTCAAAAACGGACATGCCAACCTGACACAGGACAAGATTTTGAAGGCGCTTTCACTGTCCAGATGGGATAATTTAAACATCAGAATTAATAAAGATAGGGGCTTAGATATTAATAAATATATAGTATTGGGGAGGGAAAGCTCTTTATAGTAGAATGCCAACTAATAAGTGTGGAAGGACTGATAGAATTACAAAATCACCATTTTGTAACTGTCATGGTAATAACTGATATGGGCAAGAACCATCAATTGAGCCAAAACTAGTAAATGAAAATTTGCAGCCTGGCCAACATGGTCAAACCCCATCTCTACTAAAAATACAAAAATTAGCCATGTGTGGTGTCACGTGCCAGTGATCCCAGCCACTCAGGAGGCTGAAGCAATAGAATCCCTTCAACCTGGTGGCAGAGGTTGCAGTGAGCCGAGATCGCGCCACTGTACTCCAGCCTGGGCGACAGAGTGAGACTCTGTCTCAAAAAAAAAAAATAGTTTGATGAGGTACTAATTTGATGAGTTTATATAAACTCAAAGTATCTCCCCACACATTACTTTTTTTTTT